AGGGAAAGAAGGCAAGCAAGCTCTCACACACATCAGGCCTTCGCACACCTCCACTGCACGCTGAGTTCAGAGGGCATTTGCCATTACATAACCAGCCAGAGTGACCTGCAAAAAGCATCTTCCTCATTGTTTAGGCAAGGAGCATCTCAGTGCAGGCCCATGCTGCCGAGGGCCAACAGCGCCATAGAAAAAAAAAAAAGAACGATTATCCTTCAGTAGAGCTGCAAGCGCTGGCCAGCCTGCCCTCCCCAGCACCGCACTGCTCCAGGGCACAGCATCCTTCACGGGCCAAGCATGACAAGGGCTGGCAGCCAGCTGCGCTGCTGAAGGGAGGAAGGGTCCCCTGCACCCACTGTAGGGTGGGGAGCAGGTCCGAGTGCCACCCCATCCACCCACCTGAACACCACAGAGCAGGGCCCCAGTCTCAGCTCACTCCCCCATGGGGTTACAGAGGCATCCTCCCTGGATGCAGCAGCACCTCCTCAGCAGCACCACAGACACATCTTATCCCTAAACCTTAAGATCATAGCTGGCCCTCAGGGTCTTGCCACCCAAGTCTGGCCCTCTCTGAGGAAAACCACAAAGGCCCAGCACCCAGCCCAGGGCAGGGGTAATAGTACAGCTCTGGCAGCCACTCCTTCCCCATCCCAGAGCAGGATGGGGTCTTGAGGGAGGAAGAACAGACCACAGCCCCAGTAGCCACTCCAGGGCAGGATGAGGCCTTGGGAGAGGGATTAGGCCCAAGCCAGCATGCAACCCTTCCCTCACCAGGGTAAGATGAGGTCTCGGAAGTAATATGAGGCCCAAACCCAGCACCCAACCACTTCCCCAGCAGGGCAACACGGGGCTTTGGGAGGGGGATAGCGCTCAAGCTCAGCACTCACTCCTTCCCTCACCAGGACAAGATGCGGCTTTGGGACAGGGATGAGACACAAACCCCCACACCCACTCTTTACATCCCCGGGCGGGTTGAGGCCCTAAAAGTGGGACGAGGCCCAAGCCCGGCCCCCACCGCCTCCCCCACC